TTTACTCTGTGTACGCTCTTTGCACGCAAGGGTTGTTGCCGGAAAGGTTAATTTTAGTCGGCCACCACCGGCGGCGACGTTTGGATTCGCCAGGCGCCAAGCATTCGCCTCTCTCTCAAAAAAATCGAAAATTTCTTCGACTCGTCCATTTCTGGGAAAACATCTATTTCAAATCATTTGCGATACACAGATGCGGATTTTTGCTTTTCGCTTTCGTTCGATAGAAAATTACTATAACGAATCCGAAGACGATTCGAATTAATTCTCTCTCTAATTCTATTCTCTGTGCAGGGGAAAAAGTATTTTGTCGAAATTTAAAAATTCCAGTTCTAGTTGCGTCCGGAAGCCCCGATTCGAAAGCCCATTAAGAGTTGCATATTTGGAAGGAGAGCGGCCCGTTTCTGGCGAAAATGGCACCCTTACGTGTCGTTTCTACCGGGAGGCTTTACAGCCGGCGTTTAGAGCCGACTTAAGCGCAGTCTTGTCGTTTCGAGGGCCGCCTCGTTTCACGAACAGTCTCGCGGAGGCAACGCGTGTCTGTCAATAAATACGCCTCGAGGTATTTTAACAGCGGCAATAATTTTCGTCGCACCATAAATCACCGTGTGCAGCCGTGATGTGTGAAGGGCGCACCCTCTCTTTTCTCTCTTTTCTTTCTCTTTTTTTTTTTCATCTTTTTCTCTTTCGCCTATTTCGAACTCTGCACTTTCGAAACCGGAATGAGTTTGCAAACCAGTCCTCGTTCATACACGACAAATCTCTGAACAAAGTTCAAAGCCCGACCTTTGCGTTTTAAGGCGAATAATGGACCGTAATCGGAATATTTTTCAATAACGTTTCTAACAAATTACGATGAAACGTGGAATGGAACATGCGTAAAAAAGGATGAGATGGAAGAATAAAATTAAGAAAATAATTGCTACATACAAGATGCAAGATGAATATTATCTAGAGAACGGAATTCGGTGGAAACGAGCTAGAATCGAAACACGGTTTCCTCTCTACGCTTGTTTCCTCCTCCGCAGTCATTTCACATTCCTAGAGGAGTACGTGTCGTATTGATTCAATGAATGTACGCGCGGGAACCGTGACAGTAGTCTCGGGTAAATTCCTTGCCCGGGAATGAGTCACGGGAAGCACCTATACGTCTTCTAGCCTATTTGCCGTGAGATAATAATCGCGAATAAATTGTTGCGCCGGTCGATCATATTTTAGAACGGCCGCGTGCATTTCCACGATGTTTGATACACGAAACTTTAGCGAGCGTTCTCCTGATAAAACCGTATCACCGCATCGATAACGCGAACCGCAAGCTCTTTGTGTTACCGCCTTGACGAACTTATCAATTTCGTATTTCAATTAACACACCAGTCCTCTAATTCTTTCGCCCAACACTCTAGACACAAAAATTCTTTTTATTTCAGTAATTTCAGGAGCTTTAAAAGCTTTATCAGGAAAGGGATTCGTTCGTTTAATCAAAGTCGATTGATAAGTGCAATTAATAAATCAAATTCCCCCTCGCTCGATTGTTGGAAAGGTCCTCCGCCATTCGAAACTTTTTATCTGTCGCATAAGCAAAATTCCCGAGGCGTATACTCGTTTCCGCCGGAATAACGGTGGACTATTAAATTTATAAATCACCAGTCAACACAATTGGTCGCGCTCGCGGATACGTGACGGCAGATCAGTCACGTAGAGGTTCATCCTCCCCTGGACCCCGGCGAGGAAGCGAAAGAGCGTGCCAACGCGAATTAAGAGGGGCAAGGGTGACCGTTCCTATACGACGAGTCTCCGTTCTGTTAATGGTTTTTCAACGAGCCTCGAACACGAGTGAAAGCGCCGTCGTGAAATATAATTCGACACCCGTGAAAGCACGTGGCCGCATCGTTAAGGAACGAGATCATGAACACGTTTAAGTACCTGCAACCGAGGAGGGCATTTGCATACGATCGTTACATACGACGATACGATGGTTGGGATGTGTAACATCGTTTTCACGGGGAAAGACGATAAGTCATGATTGCTTCGCGGAAATCGAATCAATTCTCAACCGCCTACGCGCCAAGATAAAGGAACGAAAGTAATGCTTTCGTTGATTTACGTTGTGGATGGGACGTAAACACGTGTGGATATATGAAAATACGATTATTACGATTATTACGGGGAGAAAGTTTAAGATTAATGAAGAGTTAAATGTGTCTATGAGACGGATGAGTAAATTTGTGAGAAGGCGATAGGAGAAAGTTTGGTTAGAAAAAATATATTCGTGTCGAGAACGGTTTATTTTTATTCGACGTTATAAATTTAAAGCGTCATTCGGATTTTCATATGATAAAGTCGATTCAAACTTGAAAGAAAGAAAAATGAGAGGATTTCATTAGGAGGATTGCACGAGAGGGTACAACGTTTTAAATAATGTCGAAGCATAAAGAGAGATTGTCGCGGCAACGAAGGTAATATCCGACGGGCCGATAAAGCATAACGAGCCGTGCTTCAACTCGACTCCCCTTTTTCCAATTTTTCAATTTCCATTTCACGTTTCCCACCGCGTTTTCCGCGCGAGAGAACACGAAAAAAATCCGCAAAGCGGGTCTCAAATTGCCCCGGCGGAAACCGAGAAAGTGAGTCATATTTTCACATACGTGCGAGGACCCCCTTCGTATCCCAGGACCGTACACGGGAAACGAAAATATCTTGGAACGTGTGTGCAGATTGCGATAAACCATATTTACCAATAGAACATTTATATGCTTTGAAAGGAAAAATACAGGACATATGTTATATATTGAACATGAATAGATAATGCAATTGATAATTATAGCTTCAAAACTCGGGCGATATATTTTTGTCGGGTTTGAAGCTGAACATATTGGAATGTAATGTAAATTAAAAAGATTGATATTTAAATACCGGGAAAGTCCCAAAAAATATTCTTTCCCGAGATAAATTTTAAAAGAATTTTAAATACTTTTTGGAATTATTTAAAAAATATTAACTTTAAATTGAAGAATAAATCGTAAAGGAAAATAGTTGTAAACACAGTAGTATTTTTTATTTTTTATAATTTATTTTTTTTTTTTTTTGTAAGAAACATGGACTGAATAATTATGAAAATAATAATCCTGACAATTAATACGAAAAGGTATTAGGACATACCATCCTGCAAAAAAATTATTGACCCAATCTCAAAATTTTTCCACACAAAGTATCTGGGTTAAAGAGGAATAAATTATTATGTGGAGCACCTTTTTGTGAAACCGTTTTAATTATTTCTTGAGCCATAATACCTCCTACAATAGCACAAACTGGACTAACTTGAGCATATATATCACCTCTGAAATTTTTAAATTTATTTTTAAATAAATTGAAAATTTCTAAATATAATGCTTTTATAAATACGTACTCGACTAAATGATTAATTTTATCCTCAAGATCAAATTTTTTAATAATTGTAGAAGCTTCATCTTTAAATTTTTCAGAGCCTCTTTCACTAGGAGATGGATCTTTGCCATATTTTTCACGATAATTAAGCATTACTAAAGAATAAAAAAAAAAAAAAAGAAAAAATAGAAAAACACGTATAATGAAAAAAAATATTTTAATTTATTATTAGAAGAGAATTTATTATTAAAAAACACTTACTTAATAACATATAATATATTTCCGAATCTTTAGGAAGAGAAGATTTTGTAACATTTAAAATTGATTTAAAAGGTACAAAGGTATCTACATGTTTTTCGGTTACAGTTATGTTTTCAAATTTTTCCTTTTGCATAGGTTCACCACTTTCTGAGATTTGTACTTTTTTTGTTTGTACTACATCTCTGGAAAATAAAATGATTTCAATTTATAATCATTTACTTAAATTAATAAAATAATGTTCTAAACAGAACACAGAAATTTACTTACTCTACATATTCATGAGTCATTAAATCAGCAAAAGTATAACCTAGCGTTCCCCATACATCTCCAGTAAGAAACTTCACATTATGCTTTCTACATGCTTCATTAATTTTATTTATTTGTGTAATGGTACATTGTGTCGCACAAACAACGTCAAAGTTACTAAAATATGTGTCTGGCTTATCATCAATATTAGATGTGTCTGCTTCAATATTAACCATAGGATTTAAGTTTTGTGCTCTTTGTATAGATGCCTCAGCTCTCTAATAATATAATTTCAATGTGAATAATATATTTTCCTATATTTAATTATGTTTACTTACGTTCTTTCCTATTAATTCTTTGGGTGTTAAAAATTGTGAACATCGATCTTCAACTGTGACATTTCTATGATCTAAAAATATAACTGATTTAACACCTGCTAAAATGATATTTTTTGCTATTTCTGCTCCAAAGCCATTTAAGCCTATTAATAAAATTTTTGCTGCTCGTAATCTGCAATATCGTTTAATATTATGCATCAATTTTGAAACATATAAGTTACATATATTTATATAACTGGTTAAATGATTTATTGATTACTCTAAACTAATCATAAAGAAATATTACTAATATTTTTTCAATTAATTTTATGAAATTGAAACATTATTACTTTTTGAAATATTATTACTTTACGAATTTTAGAATTTAGAGGTTAGATTATATTATACTTGCCGTTTCTGTGATTCTAAACCCCACAATCGAATTTGTCTATCATACAACTCAGCCTCATGATCTGTTAATTCTACACTTTGATTCTTATCTTCCACCATGTTAAAATATTTGATTTAATATTGGAAATTTATTACCGCCAAAATCACGTTCTAAAATTATGCCGACCGGTATAGTTCGCAAAAAGTAGCCAACATTATAATAATAATAGTTAATTCAAATAATAGAAAGTGACAACATTTATTAAATAGATAGTACATAATATATAAATTGTAATATTTCATAAAATTAATATTTTTACAAAGATTTTTTTTTATTAATTTTATATTTTCGAAATGTAATATAACAAGAAATGTATTTTTTAAATTCTATGATATATATTTATGTTGGACAAACTGTTAATTAAATGTGGGCGTCAAAGATCTTCTCCAAGTGTTATGTGCGAATTCCATCTGTTTCTTTAAAATGTTTTATTCAAAACAAAGCAAAAACAAGTTTTCCAAATGAAAATAGATAATTCGACAAGGCAAATAGAAACAAAAAAATAAAGACATCTTGCAAGTATAATTTTCAAAATTTAGGTTAAGTCATAAGTCATAAAGAATATAAAAGATATATTAATTATTTTCATATTTATTTAATTTATATATGTGTATTTTCAAATATATTGATATTGAATAGAATTATAAAGCTATTATCTTATAGTCTTATATTATCATTTAACAATAAACGTATATTGAAATAATTATTTATATATATAAACAAAACAATAATTTTTCTATTAGCATTCTTATATGTCGTTTTAATTTATAGTTAAAAATTATAAAACAAATACTTTATTCTTGTAATAATATATATAATATATATACATATATAAGTAGAATGCAAAAATTTTTAATTATATCAAAGTCACTTTTTGCATGTTTTTAATTGGCTTTTTACGAAAATAATTTTAAATTTGTGTTTGATAACAAAGTTTATCTAGAAGTCAAATCAAAAGTTATTACAATTAATATATGAAAATAATTGTTTTTAATAGAGTGTAGATAAAAAGTGCAATCAGAAATATTTCTCAGTTTATCATTGATCTTATGAACTGAATGTTATGAAAACTGACCTCTGAATAATATTGACTAAAAAAAATAAAATTGATCGTTCTTACTATCATAATAATCAAACACATATAAAATATGTCTAATTTATTTTATTATTTTATTATTATTATTACTTAATTATTATTACATTTTAAAAATACCTTTAATTATTAAATGTTGCATAAATTTAACACTAGTTTATCTTATTTAAAAAATAGATATATAAATTATAAAATGTAATGAAAAACTGTTTCAAAAGATATGAATATGCCCGAAGAAGAATATGTGGAGAAAACATATATATATAAATTTCCAACATGTACTACAAATCAAGAATATGTATTAGAAATACCATTAAAAATACCATATCATGGTTCTGTTAAGGAACTTATGCATCGTATAATGTCATCTTTTAAATTACCATGTTATGTGGAATCAGATTTATTGAAATCATTGGAAAACACTATTAAAACATTAACATTAGAATTTTATGATGAAAAAGCAGAAAAAGATCTTGAAAATGCAAAATCAGGAACATTAGATATTGAAGATATTATAAGAAATTGGGAAAAATCTTATAAGCAAAAGACAGTAGAATATGCTGATCCTATTGGAACTACAGATGAAGAACTATTTGCTGCTGCATACCACAGATTAGTACATTCTCCATCATTAGAACCTATTCTTCAAGCAGAACATAAATTTGGAAGAGATGTAACTGAAGTTATTCAGATGAGAGATACACATTATGAACAACTCACTCAAAAGTCAGTATTAATATTGATCTTGCTATAAAAAATGCAAAAATTATTCATATTTTTTCTTACATTTTTTTATTTATATATGATATTAAAATCCATATACATGTTAATATTTTGTAATATATACAATCATACATGTAATCATAAATCATTTTATCATTTGCATTATATATGACTTTTTTATATAGATCACTGGCAAGCTTGATATAAGTCAAGCGATTGTTTTTTTTTAAAATCATTATTTCTATCGCAACTAATATTTTTCATAATTCTATGATTAAAATGTATGTTATTTAATGTCATTTAAAAGATCATTATAAAAATTTGCATAAAAACAACATTTCTCTAACTGATGCAAATAGTAGAAAAATTTTAAATATATTTTTAAGCATTGCAAATTACCTAATTTACAACTTTGTAAATATAATTGTTTTAATATTTGTTTTGAAGCTCAATTAATCATCCTGTTATTATTGTACAAATATGTAAGGAAAAAAAGATAAAAAGAAATAGAAAAACATCAGTAAAATGAATTTTAGGCAAACCGAAGAAATGCGGGTCGCTGTTGAAGCCCTCGAGGCTGGTTCTACTGAAAAATCTATAAATGAGATGGCAGGACGACATTTTGAGGAACAAAGTTTATTGCAAGGTCATTGGGGATCAAGAGTCGATGCATTGAAATTGGAACAAAGACGGCAATATCGTAATTGGATCATGAGGTTATTGGAAGAGCAGCAAACTAACATGTTACCGACTCCAGTGTACGTTTATATAAATAGAACAAATACTCGGATGACATGGATTTGATAATTATAGATCGTGTCACTATTAGGGGTTCTCCGATACTATCGATGCCACCAATACGACCGGCATTAGACAATTTTGTTCATAGCGAGGAAAAGAATACGGCGGAATATCCTATATTGGAAGAAAGTTTCACCATACACTTAGGTTCTCAAATGAAACAAATGCACAATATAAGAATTTTAACTGGTGATGTTTTAGATTTTTGTAGAACAAAGAAGAGCGAATCTGGGTTAGTTAAATGATAAAAATATTATGATTCTTTTATATTTAAATTAAATTCAATTTTTTTTTTTTTTCTTTTAAAATAGAATGGATCCAACGCCTCAAAGGCTACAGACTGCTTTAGGATTATATTCTAATGATTTATGTGGATTAGTATTATTGAGTGATAATCATTTAGGAAGTTATTCGGGAATAACGAAAGGTAATGCGTTATTTTGTATTAAAATAACAAGTACTTTTTTTGATTACATGTAATTAACAATGTTAATAATTTTTTTCTAGAATTATGTTCGATATGTCAATTAACGACAGAATTTCATTTTTCACCGATTGATGAACAACTGGAAAAAATAAGAGAGGATGTGAAAGATGCAGTTGCATGGAGACAAGCTCATCATAAAGAAACAAACGAATCTCAAGTAAGTAGAAATTAATTAAAATAATTCGATATTTTTTTCTAATTTTTTTT